CAGTGTCGGAGCATAAGCCAACAGAGAGGAAGCCTCAGTCGGAGACTACGGCATACGCGACCCAGCCGCAGAACCCGGCCCCTGCCACCACCAAAGATGGCAGCGACACCAAAGCCAATAGCGCCTTGCGGAACTTTTCGCTATCCGCCATTGACACGTCTGCCATGACCAGGTTTGGCGGCGACAACGACAGCGACGGCGACGACGTCCCCTTGTCTGCCTTTACACGCTCTAGATCCGAGCCCATGTCTAACCTGCCTCGCCGCTCGACCGACGACTATCTATCTCGCCAGGTAGCCACCAGTAACAACTACGACTCGGACAGCAATGCTGTTGCTGCTGATAAAAGCGCGGCTAAGGGCGCCAATTCTCGTCGCTTCTTTGGTCGAAACCAAGCCGATATCTCTGGCAACCCCATTGTACGCAGCAACACGCAATCGTCTGTCTCTATGGCCAAGGTCGAAGAGCAAGTAGCGGCGTTTGAGCAGATGCGCTCGCTGTCTATGGACGTGGCTCCGCGTCAATCGGCTGAGAAGCGGCGGTTTGGCCGCTGGGGAAACTTTTTCTAAACAACTGCCACTACTTTTTCCAACTAATATTGATTCATTGCAACGTCTGTCGCAATCGAATATGGTCAATTGACGAGAAACTCGTGCGATAAATGAGTGGTTTAAACTGATTCAAAGATGAACAGACAAGGTATTGGAAATGTCCTTAAGATACGTCATCGTCTGCTCATCCGCCTTTCCCTCCATCACGCACGGCAAGAACTTGAAGAGGAGCTGGAGCTCGCGCTTGCTGATTCCCAAAAATAAGCAGCTTGAATGCGTGTTCTCCCGAAGCATTAGCTGGGCTGTCGAGCCATCCGAGTCAAGGCTTCCATCCACATCCCCATTTGCAAGGCACTTTTCAGCATAAGCCTTGCAACACCTAGCCGCCATTACCAGCGTTTTCCTAAAGTTGCCCTTCTCGACTGCAAACTGGCACAGATCGCGGAGCCAGTTCCAAAAAGCCTGGACTGGATTGAGCTTGCTCAGCTTGCAGACTCCATCGCCTGTAATAACGCCCGGGGACTCTGCCCAGCCTCCTGCTATCTGCTGAGCCAAATGCTCCTGAGCATCACTTGGTACCTGAGCAAGCCGCACGCCTCGGAGAATGGCAAGGCGGCAAAAAAGCAAGGGGCCAGGGATCGGTGGAGCAGCTTTTCTGGTCCACAGCAGCCGAGTTTGGATACGCCGACGCTTCCGCGCATAGTCAAGGTCACTGCGTGGCGGCAAATCCTCGTCGGGGTCTGCAAGAAAATTAGCAATGCCGTGCTCCAGTCCCTCCATGACAGCTAAAATGCGGTGAACGCTGTCTAGACTGCTACCGTCACGAAACAGTTATTCGCTATGGACCCGACGATAGAGGTCTGTGAGATTCGCGAGTGGTATGTGAAAGAAGGGCTGGAAGAGTTTCAGGGCTTTTGCAGGCGTATCCTCGCAACCCAGGCTGACCCGAGCCACAGGCGCTTTGCTAGGGCCGCTGCCGTCGTCATCGGAAATCACAATTACCTCCTTTCTCTTAGCCGCACAAGCCCGTTGAAAATTGGAGAACCAGTTATTCGCCAGAGCGTCCTCATGCGAGGCCCTGTCCTTGCTGCTGCCAGCAACTGCTAAGACACTAGGAACAGGTGTACTAGCAGAAGGGCTGGCAATGCCAGTGGTTTCAGTTGTAGCTACTGCAGCCACCATCAATATATCAAGCAAATTGAGTGTATCCTGCAAGTCCCTGACGTCCTGTTGCAAGGCGCACATCTCTCTATCATAGATCACTAGAGCAAGTGGCTTGGGCTTGCATCTGCAGTTGGGTCTGCCTTTTGCCATGTGTCGCTCGAAAAAGCCACGAAGAAAAGCTGTGTGATGAGCAAAAAGGCAAAGCTACACAGTAAGAGGGAAAAATGCAAGAGAAAGAGAGAGAAAGAGGTGGATGGTAGCCACATGTCCTCTCAGGACTGCTATTGTGCTGATTTTTAATACCACCCTCTTGCATACGCCACTCCAGCAGCTGCTAGATCCGCAGCTATCACAATTAAACACCCCGCCATGTATGTCAACGTGCATTAACGCTCTGACCATGCCAGCCGAATGGGTCCTAGGATTGTGTATGCGATGATTTTACGCGCATAGAATGCACTCAGGCGCACCGATGTGTTTTACGTAGTAGACCTTACAAAACCTATCATCATAGAATATTTAGCTTTTTAGATCCAGCCGCCTCCGAGCAATACCTAGACCTCGGTGAGCCAGCTGTTGGGCCAGGAACCTTTTGGTGACAAGTACAAAGTCACCTTTCTTCGTCACAAGATGGTCGAGATGACATTGGACCTGGCTCCCATCTAAAACGTTGGGGTTTGCTCGTTAGCTGCGCTGTACGTAGGCAGCCACTGCTATTGTGTCGTTGCTGGAATTACCGTTAGTTTTCCGCAGGTACAGAGAGAGATTGGATGAATCTGACAAACTTGGCCTGCTCAATTGGTATCCCCGACAGTGCTTGAGTAGGCGTCATGAGCTTCATGTCCGTCCACATGGTGCGCAAAGTAGGCAATTGGTAGGCTTACTTTGTTAAAGAAATTGCCTAAACAAGAGCTAGAAGGTGACAATTCCGACTCTAAAAAAGTTTAACATATAAATTTCCCATTTATTTCCACTAGGCTGCTTGCCTCAGATGCCTTGCTACTTGCATCCACCAGGTATGCGGTATAATATTGGCTTGATGTAGAACCAAGTGAAATTTAAAGCCAAGGCCAATTACACTAGCATATCTATTAATTGAAACAGGGTATCACATGTGGCTAGCTCCCTGGTCAACCGCTTTATACCAAGGTCCGTTGGGCTACTATGGCTACCTCTTGCTGACGGAAATAGTGATAAGGTACTTGATTTCATCCCCCTCAGTGCAAGAGTCGTCAATGTTAAGGTCAACTGCATAGAGTTCCAACAAACTAGGGTTGTAGGTAATACCTAGCGCATAGGGCTCTGGATTTACTTCAATGCTCTCGACAAGGCCTGGCATCAGTTTTTCTAAAACCGGCTTCAGTTTTTTAGCTGCCTCTTCTAGTGTAGCATACGTGAGAGAGAGGTGAGGTATAATAAGCTTGCCCATTTTATGTCCTTGGTTCTGAAGAGACGCCGATTTGTGCTGCTAATGGAAGGGAAGAGTGGGTGTTGGATGGAAAGGAATAAATGCATGGAAAATAAGTGCTTTAATGCTCTTTTTATAAGGCTGGGCTGTCCCAGAGGAAAAGAAAAAAAAAAGCGAGGGCAGAGAAAAAGGCTTTTCAGTATCCCCAACAAGCAGCTTCTTAGCGGAAAAGAAGCAAAACAAAAGACTTTAACCCATGACACATTACGTTGTCTGCCCTAAGCACGATGCTGAAGAAACCAATTCTACTGGCTAGCTCTTGGTGGCCTTTTTCATCCTGAGCAAAAGCCTCCCCCACGTGGCATAAGTGCTTTGTGAAAGAAGAAAAGAGGGCCTTTTACAGTAGATGCTGAGGAGAAATGTCTTTTTGGTGTTTTCACTGGCAGCAAACAGTGAAATAAAAGTTGGCCTTTCATTGGAGCTCCTTTTTTTCCTCAAGCGCACTTTGGTTTTCTTACAGCAAGTGTGTGTTGCCATTTGACAGCATTTGCGCCTTTGCATATCTGGAAGCTGAACAAAGCCTCCAGCAAAGCTAGCGTAAAACAAAGGTGTGTGTTGTAAAACGAATATTTCAGTCTGTGATTCTCCTGCTGCTTGTTTTCTGACTGGCGAATCTGAGCATTGTGCTATGCCTGCCAACTAATAAACAAAACAATGCCTGTAACTGGGTAATAATGTTACTACATTGAAGCCAGCAAGCGGGCTTGAGGTCGGGCGCTAATAGAGCTTGTCTCGAAAAAAAACTGTTTGTTTGATGAGTATAGAAAGCATTTATTAGGATAAATAGTTGTTACTTGTGAACCTCGGCTCCAATTCAAGCTAGAATTTCTTAAACAGGGGATGCTGGAGTAGGCGGTACGGTAGAAAGTGTCACTTAAATGCGCGATAAGCCTTGATAGGAGACCAAGTAGTAAAAGTATTGCCCTCGCCTCTAAGATCACTAAATACAAATCTCTTGCACTCCGAGTCGCTAAAGAAGGAAGTAGGGCCTCCAGTGACAGTCACGTTGTTAGGACTACTATGGTAGCTAGATCCCACACGATGGCAATGGTAGTCATTGGAATTATAGACCTCTTTTTTCTTTGCTGAATTCACAAGGGTGACTCGACGAGCGGCATTGCAAAGCGCAAACAGACAGCTGAGAATCGCGAGAACAAGGTAGAAGCGCATAGTAGGTGTAGAATTAGGAGTAAGTAGGCAGGTGATGATGGATAAACTCAACAGCCGCCAGATGGCTGACGGACTGCATTTTATACGGCGACTAGCTCAAGAGTTGGTGGATGGTAAAGATATTTTTCATTCTCACGACAAAAAGCACGCAACTTTTTTTGTCTCTCATGTCGCAACAACATGCGACTATCCCTTCCAGAAACTGCGTCACAAAGAGAAGATCGGCAAAAAAGCACTTTTTCGCCAAGCATTACACAGAAAAACCAACACATGGAACTACAAACAGGGGCTTCAATATTGAATTATCTAGTAGCATGTATATACATATCTGAATACACAACTCACACAACTTAAGCTAGATTGAAACCATTGGTGGCATTATTTATTGGCTATTAAGCAGATCGGCATGTTGCATAGAAAGTGGTAGTTCACATGGGAAGCAAAAAAATATGTTTGTCTCAATGAAAGCAAAAGTAAGTTTGATGAGCGTGGGGCTCTCCAAGGGCACCAGTACCCAAAAATAGCGCTTTAAAATTTGGAAAGCCGAGTGGAGAATAGTAGTAAGAAACACTGGTGACACACATTTTAGCAAGTATCGAAAAAAATTTGAATAATATTATTCAAACCGAATAAAGCAAAAAAATATTTGATCAGAGTGGGACTCGAACCCACGCCACAATGTGACCAGATCCTGATTCTGGCGCCTTAACCGCTCGGCCATCTGACCTTCCTTCCAAACTAACTATTGGAATTTTACATATTCTCTTTCAAAAAGAGCCACTTAAGAACAAAATGTCTGAAATACGCAGATAATAGGGCGGCGCGCTACTTTTGCTAGATCCAGAGATGGCCTCGGGGGTACTGCTGCTGCTCGATCAGCGCAAGGCCTACGACCGAGTGGACTGGGAGTACCTGGACCGATGCATGGCTCACTGCGGCATCGGGGAAAGGTATCGTCGACTGGTTCTGTCTATCTACAGGGGGAGCACGGCGGATGTAAGATTTGG